AAAAAAAAAAAAAAAAAAAGAGGAAACAGACCTTATTTACAAAAATAGGCAGCAGGCTGAATTTGACCCCCAGATTGTAATTTGTAAACCGCTGCCTTAAAAGGAAAAAATCTATTCCTGTGTATTTTCTGCCAGCACCCCTATGGTTCTGTTTTCCTCATGTAAAACCTTCCGTTCATTTGAATTTATTTTGATGTAACTTATGATATAGGGATTTTACTTGTTCTCTGCAGGTGGGAGAACACCATGGGAGGGTGTAGGGTGGGGAAGGTTTTCCAGGTGGGGGAAACCCAAAGTTGATGCCATGATGCTCACGAAAAGCCTAGGCGTTCTTGAGAAACTGTTAACATGTTGCTCAGGCCCGAGTCCTGTTCCGCACTGGACGGGATGAAGGAGGAGACAGATGGCATTCAGGAGGCAATCATAAGGGCCTTCCTTGTCGTGCTGCACACGTCACTTAGGTGGAAGTTAGGCAGGGGAGTGACGTGGTTAGATTTGTGTTTTAATAAAATAATCTTAGCAGCATGTCGAGGCTGGACTACCTGTGAGGGGAGCCCGGAGGCAAGGAGTCCGTCTGGGAAGCTTTTTGTAAATGCTTCAAAACTACTTTTTGTAAATAGAGGGTGTTTGAGATAATGAGGCCTTAGTCCAAGGAAGTGTGATGGGAGACAGACCAGAGAGATCTTTAGGACATAGAATTTGCAGAGTCCGATAATCCTTGGAATGAAGACCACAAGAGAAAAGAAGTGAGGCTGATTCCAGCTCCCAGCCTGAGCAGAAGGGTGGATATGCTCGCTGTTCACTTGGGTGAGGGATTCACGCAGAGGAGTCACATACCGACAATAAAGCTCACCTCCTCGGATTTTCCTTCTCTTGGGAGATTTGGCCCCATGAGTATTAAATATGTCAGAATCTTTCTGGTACCTTCAAAGAGATGTTGATTGTAATTTGTTTGGGGTTAAAGGATTGATCTGAAATACTCCAGTCCAGGGGCATCTGGGTGGCTCAGTTGGTTGGGTGTCCAACTTTGGCTCAGGTCATGGTCTCGTAGTTCACGGGTTCAAGCCCCACATTGGGCTCTGTACTGACAGCTCAGAGCCTGGAGCCTGCTTTGGATTCTGTGTCTCCCTTTCTCTCTGCCTGCCTCTCCCACCCCTGCCCTGCATTCATCTTCTGTGTCTCAAAAATGAATAAACGTTACAAAAAACTAAAAAATGAAATACGCCAGTCCATTGTTGTCTGGTAGCAAAATCCCCTTATTGGTGATAAATAAATTAGGTAAGTCCACCCAAAAAGAGTGTATAGAATATATCCCGGGGCTAAGAATTGCATCCTGGGGAGCACCTGAGGTCAAGGCGTTTAGCCAGCAAAGAACTTTAAAGGAATTTGAATGAGAGAAGATAGAAAGAATAGGTAAATTCAGGACTTCGCAAAAGCAGTATCATGGACGCCAAAGGACTGAGTATTTCCAAAAAGGAGGTGATGGTCAACCATGTTAACTGCTGCTGTGATACCAACTGGAATAGGAGTCCAACATGTGCTCTTTGGCAATTCAAAGACCACCCGTGACCTTAGCAAGAGTGGTCTCAATGAATTTCAACAGAAGCCAAAGCCTGACTGCAGTGGGTTGAGGAGTGAACAGAAGTGACCAGAGATTATATAGACAGAGGATTTACCTGGGACAAAAGGAGGGTGCACACCCGTGCCATGTCAGGAGCTGGATAACTATACAGGCAGGGAACATGGACAGGAATTAGCAGTATTCTAGAATATTGGATTTTTTTTTTTTTTTTTTTGGTACTGTTCATTAAGAGGTGAGAGTCAGCTCTGGAAGAGCGAGGGCTCTCAGAGACTTGAGAGTGTTCCCATCAAAGAAAGGAGGGGAAGGAACTTATCAAAGACAGTAAAAAGCTAGAGTGATCTCTGTGAGGGCTCCCTGAGATGGGGGACCATGAATTCGTAGAGGTTCCCACCGGTGGACGTCATGAAGGAGCTGGTTTTGAGTGGTGGTGCACCAGTGAGGAAGGCTTTCTCCTACATATCATGGAAAACCCAACTTACAAATACAGGACGGTCTGCAGTAGACAGCCAAGGTTGGAGAAGCCGTTCTACTGTGTCTTTAAGGAACCAGACTCGTCTCTGTCCTTCATCGTCATCATCTCCATCATCATCCTTAGAGTGTGGCTTTCGTCTCTGTCAGTGCAAAGTCACTGTTCGACATTCACACCCATCCACACCCAGACAATAAAGGAGGTAGTGCAAAAACCATTCCTCGAATGCAGTACCCTTTGTTCAGGAAGGGAAGTCCTCCCCGGGGAGGGCTGCCTCATCACCCAGAACTGTGGCCTGCACACTCACTGGCTTCTACAGAGCTGGGAAACCACAGATACAGCTTTCCACCCATTCCGTTATTACTGATATTGATACAGTGCTTTCGAATGCCCGGAATTGTCCTCAAGCATGGCGTACCACTTAGTTCCACTACCCCCCTTACGTGATAGTTTTGATATCGTCAAACCCACCTCACCGATGAAGAGACTAAGGACCAGAGATGTTAAGGACCATCTCTCATAACTAACTATGAAAGACACTGTGGGGAAGTAGCTAAGAAGTTGGGTTCTGGGGGCCAGACAGCCTGGGTTTAAATCCTGGGTTGGTTGCTTACTACTGTGTATTTTGGTTTTCTCATTTTAAACTGGAAACAGCAATAATACTGCCTTTGTAGAGGTGCTGTCAGGATTAAGTAAATCAATCGTGCTGAGCATTCCAAATAGTGTCTGGCACCTAGAGAGTGCCCAGTGAATGCTGGCAGTGTTTTTATTAGAAATATGACTCATTTGGGTACCAAAAGATGTCATACCTCTCACGTACATTAAATGTAAATGTGAATATTTATAAACAGATGTCCAAATCAGCAGTCGGTCGGTCTGGGTGTTGTTGTTGTTTTTTTTTAATTTTTTTTTTTTTTTTACATTCACTTATTTTTAAGAAACAGAGTGAGACAAAGCGTGAGCGGGGGAGGGGCAGAGAGAGAAGGAGACACAGAATCTGAAGCGGGCTCCAGGCTCTGAGCAAGCGGTCAGCACAGAGCCCGATGCGGGGCTCGAACCCACGAACTGCGAGATCATGACCTGAGCCAAAGTCGGACACTCAACCGACTGAGCCACCCAGGCACCCCACGGGTGTTGTTTTTAAGAAAGCTGCTGATAGGGACGGAGGGGCACCTTGTCAGAAGTGTCAAGGACGACTGAATTGTAGGAGACAATAGCGCTGGAGAGGAAAGATTCAGATCAGGGGGAGACCATGAGGAGCCAGGCTGGACTGGGAGGAGTTAATCCAGGACGGCTTTTGGACTGGAAGTGGGGAAATAATAGCTCGGGTGTTGGGGGAGCACCTAGAGTTAAGCACTGGCTTTGAAGAGCCTGGAAGTCTCAGCAGAAAGAGACTCCATCTTGTCAGGGTCCAAGAGTGATTAGAAATCGCGGTAATTCTAATTGAACCAGGGTAGACGCTGCGTAAAATTGGGTCAAGAAACCAGTCTTTTGGAGACATGAGCCGAGGAGGCTCTGAAATGCGAAGGGATGGGATGGGGTACAGTTTCTCACTCTTGGTAAGGTAGAACAGATTCTCTCTGTCTCTCTCGCTCTCTCTCTCACATTGGTTTCGGTTTGTGGATTAGGGATCCCTATGAGACTGTATTGGAAATTGTGTATTTTTTTCTCCAGGAAAATGCACTTGTAACCCCAACCCCCAAATTTGCCATTCTGGTTTGTTTTTGGGGGGGTGTCTCAGACCCCTGTGCCAGTTCAGGACATTCCGGGTCAAAAGCCCCTAAAAATCTAACAGTTTTGATTAGTTTCTACAAAGAAAGGGCAACTGGCACGTAGGGACAGATTGTCCAGCACGGCGGGTGAGGTGACGTGCTAAAGGTAGGGGCAGCTGGGATGTCACCCAGCTCTGTATGTTTGTGCCTGGGCTGCGGGG